CCAGAAAGTAACTTCGCCCTTCTTTGCTCTTCCTGCCTTTTTCACCTTCTACAACCTCCTGTTTTCCCTGACTTGGCTTTCGCTGCAGCTTTTCATCTTCCAAACAGACCCATTATGAATAAAGCTGGTTATTGCTTGTATTTTGTTAGCCCATTTTGCTGAGCTATGGTTCCCCTTGCAGACTTTACATCATTTTTATGGATTGAGGTGATAAACCTTTGGGGCAGGGACTGCCTAATAGTCTGGATTTGCTCAGGGTGCAGCACAACAGAGCCCTCCTTGATCTCCAGCACTGTGCCAATAACTGTGATTAACAGGGACCAGAGGAGCAGTGCCTGCATGTTAAATAACAGTAGCTCTTGTTTAGCACAGTCAGAAGGAGAATGATGCCTTCTTTTTAGAGTCTGTGGGAAAACTGAATTGCTGCTGCCTTAAATTGGCAGCAGGAGTCCCCCTGGGAGCACGGGCAGTCGTGATGTGTGGGACATTGGGATGAAGCCTGGGTAGGTAAAATGCAGCATGCAAGTGTTTGCTGTGCCCACTAGGAAGTGGTGTAACCTTGTTGTAATGAGCAGTGGGAGATGGTGGGAGCGACAGCAGCTCCTTGGTGCAGATGGGCAGGCAGCCACCCTTTACAAAAAACCCAAACCCAAGCCAGCAGAGCACACACACACCAGCCCCCTCCATGCCACCCTGCTGCCCCTCTGGAGCCAAAAATCAGGTTTCTTTCAGTTCCTGTGGCAATTGCTGAGTGCATCTGAAACCCTGATAGAAGAATGTTTGGCATGAGTCCAGAGGAGGCCACAGAGGTGATGGGAGGGCTGGAGCAGCTCTGCTCTGGAGCCAGGCTGGGAGAGTTGGGGTGTTCAGCCTGGAGAAGAGAAGGCTCCAGGGAGACCTTAGAGCAGCTTCCAGTGCCTGAAGGGGCTCCAGGAAAGCTGGGGAGGGGCTTGGGACAAGGGCAGGGAGGGATGGGATGAGTGGGATGGATTGAAACTGGAGGAGGGGAGATTTAGATCAGACATCAAGACGAGATTCTTCCCTGTGAGGGTGGTGAGAGCCTGGCCCAGGTTGCCCAGGGAAGCTGTGGCTGCCCCATCCCTGGCAGTGTTGAAGGGCAGGTTGGATGGGGCTTGGAGCAGCCTGGGCTGCTGGGAGGTGTCCCTGCCCATGCAGGGGGTGGGACTGGATGAGCTTTAAGGTCCCTTCTCACCCAAACCAGTTTGGGATTTGATGGTTCTCTGAGTAACAGTGGTTCAGAGAAGGACAGGGGACTCTGGGGGAGGACAGAGGTGTGAAGATCAGGAAGGTGTGCATGCCATCTGCACTAAGGATTGTTCCCAGTGTGCTTTCCAGTGCCATTTTCTGACTCTGATGAACCCAAGTTCCTTTGCAGCCCTTGGACACCTTGCTGTACCTGTTTCCTGGAGATCCCCCTGCTGTTGCTGTACACATCCCCAGCAGATGCTGTCAGCCCATTTTCTTCACTCCCCTCCTATTTTATTTTTATTCTGATGGCCATTTAATAAAGTTCCAGCTATTGACTCGGGTCAGTGATAGCTGGTGGGAATGACAGTGTTCCTCTGGGTTATGGTGAGTCACTCTGAATTCCAGCTTTGCACTCCTTGCAGCTGAGCACCAGGTTCAACCCCTCCTTGGCACTGGTGGTTAGAGCTTGAGGATGAGCTTTATCTCTCCATGATGGGGAAGTCACTTCTGTGTCTGTACCACTCACTGGTTCATGTGGCTGTTGCTTTCATGGCATTGAAGATCATGGCATAACCTCTGTTTTGGAGAGGAGTCTGATCCTGACCCCTGGAGTGGCCCCAGGTGATGCCAGGAGCTTCTCAGAGACACATCTTCAGGTCATCCAATGGACTGAAGATTGACCCTTGGAGGGATTTAATATCCTGCTGGTGGGTTGCACTGGCTGCTTTATGGGGCTGTAGCTTCACCATCTCCCTTCAGGGTGAAAAGAAACCGCTGGCAAAAACTACAAACTGTTGCATAAATGATTTGGAATTCAAGGAGGGCTGGACATGCCCAGTGCCAGAGGCTCTGGCTGCAGGGCTGGGTCTCCACGGGGCTGTGGCCACAGCAGTTGCTGTTCTCTGCCCAAGCCATCCTGATGAGTGCCCAGTGTCCAGGTGTTGGAACTGGGTTGTTTTTTCCTCCAGAGAGTAAGTGCCCTTGTTCCCTGGTGAGGGATGGACTTGGCTGTTGGACACCCATCTCCCCAGAGTCCTGTCTGGTAGAGGTGCCTTCTCTGGGCAGCTTTGCTCAAGGGTTGAAATGCTCAAGTGATTGCCTGGCCTGGAGGAAGAGGAGATTTGAGTGAACAGGAAAATATCCAAGTCTTTGTCCCTAAAAGGGGCTGAACTGGTTATTAAATGGTGAGAGTCCTGGATCTTTTCTGGGTGGTGGGGCAACCAGTTCCATTCACCTCCTCTGCCTGAGGTGGCTTTCAGCATTGAAGATGCAGGCAGGTTTGGGAGGGGAGGAGCAGTGCTCTCCTTGCAGCTTGTATTAGAATATTTAAAATGAATTGTCAAAGGTGAGTTCAAAATTTACCTTTGGGAACCCCGTAGATAATTAGAGTGGTTGACAGAGTAAATTAGATTTTTTTCTGTGCTATGTCCTGCTTATAACTGCCTCTGCTCTGGGGCAGATTTCCTGCATTGCACGGATGCATCCTCAAGATTTAGTTCCACATAATGAAGTGTAAAATAAAGGTTTATGAACAATATTCTCAGTATTAGATGTCTTATGAGTTGATTAAATATCCTGGCCAACTGCTTTCCAAAAAAATGTTCAACCAAGTAACAGGAAAGGAAAATTTTAGCCATGGGCTATTGCAGTCCCTATATTTATATTTATTTATATTTATATTTATATTTATATTTATATTTATATTTATATTTATATTTATCTCTATCTCTATCTCTATCTCTATCTCTATCTCTATCTCTATCTCTATCTCTATCTCTATCTCTATCTCTATCTCTATCTCTATCTCTATCTCTATCTCTATCTCTGTATCTATATCTATATTATTTACATTATTATTTATATTTATTTGTGTTTATATTTACATTTATATTTATATCCATATTTATAATATTTATATTTTTATTGATAAGTATATTTCTATTTTAGTAGCAGCTTTAAGGAAGCCATGGGGCTGTCAGGGCTATATGGAGCACCCCTCTCAGTTCAGTCTGGCTGATGTCTCAGTGCCACTAAAGCATCAGTTTTAATGGAGCTTTGGCTTTGCAGCACTTTCCTTCTGCCTCTAAACTTGCCTCATGGAAATGTATTAATAACAGATATTAACAAAAATTAAATGCTCAGGGTACCAGGAGACTGGACTCCTGCTTAGAAAGTTCCTTTCCTGTCTTGCACTGCCATGTGTGGGGTGAAATATGCTCTTTAATTAGCTGTAAAATGCAACATGTTGTTTCTCACCCTCCATTTTTATATGACATTAATATAATTACATCTATAATTAATATGGATGGTAGCAAAATGCTGGCCTGATAACTTTACAGCCTCTTAATTAGCATTCATTTTTCTTTCTGCAGACAGCATGTTTCTCAAACCCATCTCCTGTAATTGTTAATTCAGACATCACTTACTATTTCAACAGACATAATGGAGCAGTGCATTGCAATTATCCAAGGTATGGAAATGCATTTCAAAATGTAAGCATTTCCTCCCTATAAAACACAGAAGAAAACATCTCTCTGAGGCTAAAAACGTGTCTCTGAGGCAAGAAGGAAGTGCCTGATGCAAGTAGGATGCAAGAAAAAACACCAGTAAGTTGGAAATTGCAGTTCAAAGTGGCTTCAGGATAGATGGGAGTGGGTAGATCCCCTCATCATGAGCACAGGGAGGGATTAAAGATCTTGTACAATATATTCATCTGAGTGATTCTTGAACACAAACTGCTGCTTTGAGTGAGAGATGCTACAAATACCAGTGATTTTCAGATGATTTGCCCACGGTCCGTGTTCCAGCAGTTCCTTGCACGAGAGCAGGCAGGTAGGTCCAGTGTTCTCCCAGTAACAAAGAATTTTGATTGAAGGTGGTCCAAAGGAAAACCAAAGCCCTTCCCAGAAGGTTTTCCTGTTGGATGTTAATTATGGTAACTTGGGAGCTGAAGGTGATGGTGGTGTCTGGGTTTGTGTAATGGTTGTTTCAGCCCAGGTCCTGCACTGCAGGCTTGTCTCTGGCTACCTGGTCTCATCTTAGGTCTGCTTTGACCAAGGACAGTTTGAAGGATGTGACACCTGGGGGTCTGAGCACTGAGCAGTGTGCTGAGTGTTCCCACTGGACAAGTAGGGTGTGTTTTACTTAGAAATGAAATGAACATGTCTGTGGGAGAGAGATGTCCCTCCCATCTCACAGGTGTCTGTTTCTGTGGGTGTTTATAGATATCACAGCTTCATGTTACAGCATCCACAGTCATTTTGACTTGTTTTAGGTTGTTCATTAACATCTCCCAGATTTTATTCCTTCTTGGCTTCTGTGCTTGGGGTTCCAAAAATAGTTTCAAAGCAGTGTACTGGAAAGGGAGATGAATGATTGAAGAAGGAGCTAAAACTGAGTGTATGCCTGGAGGATTCCTGGGCTTGAGCAAATCAGATGTTTTTCCTAAACATGGTATTTCTGGCCCAGGTTGCCCAGAGACGTGGGAGGTGCCCCATCCCTGGAAACACCCCAGGTCAGGTTGGACAGAGCTCTGAGCAACCTGATCTAGTTGCAGGTGTCCCTGCTCACTGCAGGGGCTTGGACTGGATGGCCTTGAAATGTCCCATCCTGTGAGTCTGTGATGCTCTGACGTGCAGCAGACGTTCACTAGTGGAGGAGCTTGCTTGAGGCTCTTGTGCAAGCCAGGACACCACAGTAATTCTGCTCCACTGGGGTGAAATTCCTTTATGGTCCATGGTCAGGACTTGGCTGATCCTCAGTGCTGTTTCCTGGTGTTGTTCTGTTCCCAGGTGTTCTCCTACACTGCCGACAAGGAGATCCGCACGGATGACTTGTGCCTGGACGTCTCGAGGCTGAACGGCCCCGTCCTCATGCTGAAGTGCCACCACATGAGGGGGAACCAGCTCTGGGAGTACGATGCTGAGGTACCCGAGGCAGCAGCACCGGCCTTGGGGCCAGGGCTGGGGAGCCTGGGGATGGGGTGGGGATCCCTGCTCTGCCTCAGGAGTGCAGAGCAGTTCAGTGAGCAGCCAGGGTTCCTGTGGTCTTGCCACAGAAGTTCATTTTTAGTGACATTTAGTGAAAAAGTCAATTATTGCTTAAAAATCAGCTCATTTCTAGGAGCTGCTGGTGCCTTCCAGCCTCCTAGGCTCCTTCTGCATTGCTGGTAGAAGTGAGGCAGAAAACAAGATCCCCTTGTTGTTCAGTTGCAGCTTTTCCAGTATGTTCCTGCTGGCTCCTGGAGGCTGCCTCTGGATTCTGGTTGGGTTGAGTCCTTTCCCACCTCCCAGTCACCCCTTCAGCGCCCTGGGGTGGGAGGTGGTTGCTTCTGGCTTTTCTTAAGCCACCAAACTGCAGTGTGTCAGAACCCAGAGAGTGCAGGTTGGTGCCCTAAGGGCAGCTGGTAAAATCAGTGCAAATGATGTGTGAGCACCTCAGGGTTTCACAGCCAAACCGTTCTCTTTAAGCGAGGCAGGTGGGAGTGAAAACATTGGTGTTCAGCTTTTGCTTTGCAGTGGGAACGTGCAGGTTTGCCTGGTGAGATTCCCACCAAGGTGTTTCAGCCTTTTCCTCAAGGCAGGATCTTCCTGGCACGTGGTGGTGAGACTAAAGCTGCATGATGCTGAGCTGCCAGGGCAGGAGGAGAACACCACCCAGACTAGCAGTCACGTGCAGGTTATGGGGGAACTTCTCATGCATTATTGAGTTTAACGTTTGAAAGAAGAGTATTTATCCTACCACACAGAATGTGTGAGTATTCTGATAATTTTTAGGTATTTTTGAGGCTGTTCATGCCAGCAATTAATACCTGAGCCTTAAGGTCTTGCGTCCTTCCTTGTCTCATTCCTGCAAGCAGCTGATAATTGCTTTTTAATCAGTTTTAGATTGTTTCCAAGAGAAGCTAAGGAGTGTAGTGCTGAGTGGTGGCCAAGGACATGGAATCAGTGCTGCAGATTCCTGCTCCATCTCCAGAGCCTGGGTTTCAGCTCTCCACCAGGATCTGCTCTCACTCCCACCCCAGCTCTCACCCTTGGCTAGCCATGCACCTGGCCCAAGGTGCAGCTCCTCACAAAATGCTCTTTCTCTGCCAGAGGTGTTGAGAGCAATCCTTCCTGATCAAACAAAAAACATCTGTATCTATCTATCTATCTATCTATCTATCTATCTATCTATCTACCTATTATCTATCTATCTATCTATCTATCTATCTATCTATCTATCTATCTATTATCTATCTATTATCTATCTATCTATTTATCTATATATTATCTATCTATTTATCTATATATTATCTATCTATCTCTATCTATCTATCTATCTATCTATCTATCTATCTATCTATCTATTATCTATCTATCTATCTATCTATATCTATCTATCTATCTATCTATCTATCTATCTATCTATCTATCTATCTATCTATCTATCTATCTATCTATCTATCTATCTATCTATCTATCTATCTATCTATCTATCTATCTATCTATCTATCTATCTATCTATCTATCTATCTATCTATCTATCTATCTATCTATCTATCTATCTATCTATCTATCTATCTATCTATCTATCTATCTATCTATCTATCTATCTATCTATCTATCTATCTATCTATCTATCTATCTATCTATCTATCTATCTATCTATCTATCTATCTATCTATCTATCTATCTATCTATCTATCTATCTATCTATCTATCTATCTATCTATCTATCTATCTATCTATCTATCTATCTATCTATCTATCTATCTATCTATCTATCTATCTATCTATCTATCTATCTATCTATCTATCTATCTATCTATCTATCTATCTATCTATCTATCTATCTATCTATCTATCTATCTATCTATCTATCTATCTATCTATCTATCTATCTATCTATCTATCTATCTATCTATCTATCTATCTATCTATCTATCTATCTATCTATCTATCTATCTATCTATCTATCTATCTATCTATCTATCTATCTATCTATCTATCTATCTATCTATCTATCTATCTATCTATCTATCTATCTATCTATCTATCTATCTATCTATCTATCTATCTATCTATCTATCTATCTATCTATCTATCTATCTATCTATCTATCTATCTATCTATCTATCTATCTATCTATCTATCTATCTATCTATCTATCTATCTATCTATCTATCTATCTATCTATCTATCTATCTATCTATCTATCTATCTATCTATCTATCTATCTATCTATCTATCTATCTATCTATCTATCTATCTATCTATCTATCTATCTATCTATCTATCTATCTATCTATCTATCTATCTATCTATCTATCTATCTATCTATCTATCTATCTATCTATCTATCTATCTATCTATCTATCTATCTATCTATCTATCTATCTATCTATCTATCTATCTATCTATCTATCTATCTATCTATCTATCTATCTATCTATCTATCTATCTATCTATCTATCTATCTATCTATCTATCTATCTATCTATCTATCTATCTATCTATCATCTACCCTGCCAGTCACTGTCCCCTGGCTCTTTTGGGCACAACCAACCACAGATGAGTCTCCCTGCCCTGCACTCTCACAGCTCTGCTAGTCCCAGAGCAGAGATGCCCACCAGCACTGCCACACTGCATGGCTGCAAAGGTAGGGAGATGCTGCAGAGCTAGAAAGTTAATGATGTGTTTAAAAGATGTGTAGTCTTCTAAAAAGCATTCCCTATATTTAGTAGGAATAACTGCTTTTACCTCTCAGCAGGGAGGGCTCCATTTCTTTCACAAGCACATGGAACAATAGGACAAGGGGTGATGATTTCAAGCTAGAGGAGGGTAGATTGAGGTTGGATATTAGGAAAAAATTATTTAATATGAGGGTGGTGAAGCACTGGAAGGGGTTGCCTAGAAAGGTGGTGGGGGCCCCATCCCTGGAGACATTCAGGGTCAGGCTTGATGAGGCTCTGAGCAATCTGGTCTAGTGTGAGATGTCCCTGCTTATTGTAGGGGGGCTGGACTAGATGAGCTTTATTGCTCCCTTCCAACCCAAGACATGCTGTGATTCTAGGACTCTATCAACCCCATCTGCTCTCCTTTGCTTTTAGCATTAGAAACACACTGTCTTATTCTCTGAAGTGTAGCCTCAGAGTTCCACCATGGAAAACTTGTAAGTAGCTGTGTAAAAACAAAATCAACCATTAGATGGAGCTCATAAAAAAGAAATACACTTTGTTTTTATATAAGGGATCTCCAGGACAACGGGTTTGCAGTTTGTCCCACACACAAACCACAGCCCATTCCATGATGTACCTTCTTATTTATTCACAGGAACATTTTTGTTAACAGTTCTACTCTGTGAACATTCAGACCTCAGCTTGCAGAATTCCCTTGGATGAGGGAATGGATATTTATGATACATTTATTAGTGAATTAACTCAGTTAATATGGGCAGGATTCTGGGGGGATACAGACCCCATCCCTGCTCCTGGTAAAGGTATTTAGGGGTTGAGACTGAGGGACAAGAGTGCCCTGGCCACACCTGGAGGTACAATGAGAGGTGCAAATAATCATAAAAAGGGATTTCTGAATAGATTTTCAGATAATTTTAAGAAAACTAAGTAATCCAGAGATCTTCAGTTAATTTTCTTGGATTCACTGTGATTTAATTTTCTATAATATTCCAGTTTTGTTTAAATTATGGCATTTAAATATATTTGTTAGAAAGACAAAAATAGAACATCATTTTCAGAATGTATCCATACCTGAAGGATGTTACAGTTCCCTTTGGTAATCCCAGCATTCATATTTCTTTTCCAAAAACAAACAAGTAATTGGGAAGATTTTGTGGTGATAAGGAAGGTAAATCTCAAATCTGTTCACACCTATTTGTGAAAATGCCAGGTCCAGCTGGTTTGAAACTGTTCAAAAAGCCTCTTTTCTCCTTTTCTCAGGCCAAGGGTGTGTTCTAAAAGCTTTAAAGGCTTGGAATTATTTCTACATTTCAACTTGCACTTGAGAGGCAAGTTAACTGGGAATGCTGGAAGAAAATAGTGCCCAGCAGGTACCAGCTGGTTTGTCAGAGCAGGAAACCCTCAGCTGGGGGAGAGGGTGAGAACTGGCATGTGGATTTTTGGGTCAAAATTCAGCTGCACAGGGAGAGATGAGGGACTGACCCCAAGCTCAGCACTGAGCTGTTCCAGGTGTGGGATTCACCCCAAGGTTACTTAGTGCACCAGGTGACATGGACTGAAAGAAGTGAGGAAGATCCTTGGGGGAATAAACAGGATCCAAGTACTCAGAAGTATCAAGAGTCTGCAGAGCTGGTGGCTCTGGTCAGATGTGCAGCAGGGCTGCTGCTCTCCTGGGAAAAGCCACATAAAGGAGGAAGAGTCCTGGTTTTCCTGGGCAGGAAATACTTAAACAGTAATTATTTTGAGAAATCTCAAAGAAATTTCTGAATCTTCCTTCTCTCCCCCCCTCCCCCAGAAAAACCCCATGGTAGGGGTATGGGCAGAGCACAGAGAGGTTCTGCTGTCAGACTTTGGGCCTCACCTGCTTCCAGCACTGGAGGGAGAAGCTGCATTTCCAGCAGCAACCAGAGCCCAGGGGCTCCTGGAAACTGGATTTTAACTATTCCAACAGAAATCCCTGTTTGTGCTGCTGTTGTGCCAGGGAGCTGCTCTCAGGGGGTGAGTCAGTCAGGTGTGCAGGCAGCTGAGTTTTAAGGTTTGCCAGCGTGTCTTCATAGCTTTGAAAAGTCTGCCAGGGAAAATTGTGTCACTTGAAATCCTGGTGAGCCTGTTGGGTTATCAGCTGGTAACTGGATCAGTCAGGTGAGAACAGATAAATCCATCGATAGTGGAGGTAAATCAGTTGATAACTGAGATAACATCACAGGAAAGGCATGGAGCTGTTGGAGAGGGGCCAGAGGAGACACAGAGATGGTCCAAGGGCTGGAGCAGCTCTGCTCTGGAGCCAGGCTGGGAGAGTTGGGGTGTTCAGCCTGGAGAAGAGAAGGCTCCAGGGAGACCTTAGAGCAGCTTCCAGTTCCTGAAGGGGCTCCAGGAAAGCTGGGGAGGGGCTTGGGACAAGGGCAGGGAGGGATGGGAGCAGGGGGAAGGGATTGAAACTGGAAGAGGGGAGATTTAGATCAGACATCAGGAAGAAATTAATCATGAGGGTAGGAAGGCACTGGCCCAGGTTGCCCAGAGAAGCTGTGGCTGCCCCATCCCTGGCAGTGTTGAAGGGCAGGTTGGATGGGGCTTGGAGCAACCTGGGCTGCTGGGAGGTGTCCCTGCCCATGCAGGGGGGTTGGAACCTCATGATCTTTAAGGTCCCTTCCAACCTTCACCATTCTCTGAGTCTATGATAAATCCATTGCTCAGTGTGTGTCACGAAGTTACTGGATGGAAACAGTATTTAGCATCATGTCTCAGAGATAAATTGATGGTGATGTCTTTATGGGTCATAAACAGTGCAGAGCTTGCCAGGGTCTCTACACCTTTTGGGGAAAAAAAAAACCAAACCACCACAGAACTGAGTTTAAATACTTTTTAATTAAGCAAAAGAAGTTGTGGCTGAGGAGGAATTAAATATTAGCAGATGGCCACGGGTTGTGTCGTTGAAGAAAAGGACATTGTTTGGAAATTGATAAAGGTGGATGAATCACGTGTAATGGAAGGGAATGTTGCAGTTCCCAAGGGGTTCCTCTCACCTTGAGGAATGCAAAATGTTTAAATTGGTGTTTGCAGGGACTGTTGCCATGTCACATAGCTAGATGAATGGTCAGGGAGCTGCAGTATTCTTACTGCTTTATAATAATAATAATAATAATAATAATAATAATAATAATAATAATAATAATAATAATAAAACCCTTAAACATAAGTTCCATTGACTTTCTTGGCAAGGATGGCAGAATGGAATGGAAGCACAGAAATGCACCTTGTCTGGATCAAAAAAAACCCTTTTAATATCTACATAAGACCATGCTGAAACAAAATCATTTGCAATCAAGAAGTTGTTGTTTCTTTCTGCTCACACAGATTGTTGTGTTGTTCTGTTTGTCACAACCAGCAGGGGCTGTGGCTCTGGACCTGGGCTGCCCAGACCTTCTGTTCCATTGCTGCCTCCTACAAGGCACTTCTCACTGAGCTGCATCTTTTTCTTAACCCCACAGTATAAATTACTTAGTTATATAGATATATATCTCTGTCTAAAGTAATTTTTATGTGTTAAAGTAATATATGTTGTACATTACTTTAAATAAAAAGTAAGTATTACATAGAAGTAAATATTCTATATTTAAAGTAATATATATGTATTACCTGTAGAAGAAAAAAAAGCCCAATATTGATTCTAGTACTTATATAGTTTAAAAAGAAGGCCTTACAGCAAAACCTGTGGGTGGCACAGTCTGGATGTATGGAAGGCTAAAGAGAGGATCCTGCTGCCAGCAGGAGGTGACAGGTCATGCAGATCCCCAGCTGAGGTGTTCCCAGGAAGGTGGAAATTGCCTCCTCTGGGCAGGACTCACCAGTGCTGGTGGAAACTGGTGTTTAGGCTTCGGCCTGGGGTAGTTTGTAGCGTTTTTCAGCACTTTTTTTTTTCCTGAATGTTTTTACATTTTGGCAGGAAGTTGTTGGTTTGGAGTTGGGGTTTTTTTCTCTCTTCTTTTTTTTGTTTGGTTTGGGAGGTTTTTTTGTTGGTTTTAGTTGTTGTGTATTTTTTATTATTTTTTTTTAATCCATGATGGAATTTTAATGCTTTTCTTCCCTACTCTTTAAGAGCACATTAAGATTCTTGGCCCCTTCTCAAGCTGCCCATTACCTTGCCAGGGCAGCTCAATCAATCAGCAGTGTCAGCAGGACGTGCCAAGTGAGGCTTTCCCAGCTTCCCAGGGCTGCCCATCAGCCTGGGCTTTACAACATATTTATAAGGCATTTGCTTTGGAATGGGGGTGGGAAATGAGGCAGCAGAGGAGCAGAAAACAAGCCAGGAGCTGTGATGGGCTGGAGCCAGAGCTGCTCCAGCAGCATCTGATGTTGCTTGTCTAATGAAACCTGGTTTTGCACTTTAGCTAAAGTGGTTTGTTCTCCCCCTGCGTGGGGCACTGGCCTTGGTGGAGATGTTTTTGCAGGGCTTCAGTGTTAGGCTGGGGCTGGCAGCTGAGCCAAACCTGTCCAGGTTTGTGCTCCCTGGCTGTGTCTCCCAGTGACATCCAGGCCATCCAGGCAGAGCTCAGCCTGGACAGCATGGGGATAACTTGTGTAACACAGGCAAGTGATGTAAGGAAAAAAAAATAAATCATCATGTCAACATGTCACATCTGATAGGAGATAGTTTCATATCCTCAGGCACAGATAATGACATCAGGGTTTGCTCTTGTGTAACTTCAGTTACTTGTCTGTAAACACACTTGGCAAAAATGTTTCTTGACCCACTGTTTGACCCCTGTTTCCTTTTTTTCTCCCCCCCCCTTTTCCCTCAGTATGTTGGTAAATGGGAATATAGCTTTGAGGTAAGTTTGGTAACAGCTGCAACCCCCAAGCCTAGAGTAGCCCCTGCCTTGCTTCCCTAGCAGTGCTGTGCCCACCCACCCTCGTGCCCTCCCCGTGTCCTCCCCAGGTGCTGCCCCAAACCCAGCGTGCTCAGGTGTCTCTGCAGGGTTTCAGGCTGCTGGGGCTTTACAGGGACTGGCCAGAGCAGCTGGAGCAGGGACAGCAGCAGAGAAAAGACACGTTCCCTGACACGTGGCACCAAGGCTGATGGCAGAGAAGCACAGGAGCTCATGGACACAGTTTACATGGGTTGTTTCTTGTGCTTGTTTCTGGTGCTGGCTGCATGTTCTGCCATTCCTTTTCATTCCTGTTCCCAAAGGATGTGACTCCACGTTGCATCACCAAAGGGCACTGAGAAGACAAGGGGGAATGGCTTTAAACTGAAAGAGGGGAGATTCAGGTTAGATATTAGGAAGAAATTCTTCACCATGAGGGTAGTGAGGTGCTGGAATAGATTGCCCAGAGAAGCTGTGGCTGCCCCATCCCTGGCAGTGTTGAAGGGCAGGTTGGATGGGGCTTGGAGCAGCCTGGGCTGGTGGGAGGTGTCCCTGCCCATGCAGGGGGTTGGAACCTGAGGATCCTTAAGGTCCCTTCCAACCTTCACCTTTCTATGATTTGTGTCATCAGCATCTCACCTACTGATCTGCATCCTCCAAACAATCACAGACTTTGTGACTATTTCTCTTCTTAAAGTTATGGACCAGCTGGATTTGGTGTAGTCAACTAACTCCTACCCCAAGTGTTTATAGCCAATAGTTGAACTATTCCTATAAAGTGTAGTCTTATTGCTGTGTCTCTGAAAGGACTTAGTCCTATAGAAGTGAGTAGGGAAAACATTGCAAGTTTATTACCTTCTTAGAAACTAATGTTTAATCAAGTGACTGAAGGGGAGAAATGATCTCTCACTTCCATTACTGTAGATTTTCTGAAGTCAGTGCAGCCTTGGTGAGGTACAGAGGTTAAACTTACTGGAGAAGGAGACTGTACCAGAGAAAGAGTCTGGTACATGACTTAGTACTATTTATATCCATGCAAAGACTCTGCTAAATGTAGGCATTTAATGTGGCATAAACATGCAAGATGGAGAGATGATTACGTTTTGAAGTCATTTATTTATGTACCTGTGTTCCCTTCAGAGCAGGAGTGAACACAAAGCAACACGGAGTGAAACAAACCCAAGTGCTGATGCTCGTGCTGGTTACCCAGAGTGACATTATAAGGACATTTGTTCATGGTATTTTGAGTGGCTTATTTAGCTGTACATTATGTTTTTCCTTACCAAAGCAAGGGCTGGGATGCAGGAAGAGCATCCCCTGAGCTGTGCTGGCAGCACCCTCCCTGGGCACCTGCCCTCATCCCACACCAGCAGCTTCTGGCAGAGGTTGGGGCAGGAGAAGCTCCTGCCCAGCTGGCTCTGCCTGCTGCCACCTGGTAAAGGCAGAGCTGAAGTCACAGTTGGTGAAAAAACCTCTTATCTCCTTGTATGTAAATGTTTATTTCATTGTGGTTTTAAGGTAAGGATGCTCGAGTGGGTGTCAGGGGGGGTGTTGCAGGGTATTACTGCAGTGGAACATCATCCCTGCCCGGGCTGTGCTGTGTGGGGGGCAGTGGTGGTTGCAGGCACTGGGGGTGTCTGGAGACACCCCAGGCTGGATGGCAGATGGAACGTGAGGGGGTCTTAGCTGGGCCAGTCCCTCACAGCAGAGCAGTGAGAGAGGGTGGTGGGAAACCAAAGCTGGGTGGATGGCCACGCTGGCTGGGGGTGTGCTGTGTGCCAGCTGCTCCAGCCTCCCTGCCATGCCACACCAGAGCATCCCCAGGCACAGCTTCCCCGTAGTGACTCCCACCAGAGTGCCCTTAGCTTTGCCTCCTTCCCTGCTGTGGCTGCCTAGTCAAACAGGCTGTTGCTTTGCCCCCTTGCCTGCCCCTGCCCCTGCTTGCCTGTGTTCACATCTCCCACCTTTCTGTCGTGCAGACCCACACGTTCCTGCACATCATCACCCAGTCCTGCCTGACCATAAGCAGGATAGAGGATGGCACCCGTGGGCCCACGGTGGAGGCTTGCAATGGCAGCCCCCTGCAGACCTGGCTGCTAAGGAACTACACCAGGCTGGAAGTCTTTAGGAACATTTTTTACAGCCCCACTGACTATTTCCTTTAGCGGGCGGGCTGAGGTTGGTATTGAAAAGCAAAAGCAACATGTAGGGATTGAAGCTCTTCCCAGAAAAGTGCTTCTCTCCTCCCTGGGTATTAAACTCAACTGAATTCCCTTCTTGTTTTCTCAGCTGATTGTATAATTCCGTGCTACTATGTGTGTTCAGTGAGTATTCCACAGTCCTGTATCATTGTCAGTTATTGAATTATATAATATTAGTTGTTATTAATGATAATAATAAGATCTTTGTGCTCTTGAAGGTTTTTTTCCAACCAAAGCGATTCTGTGATTCTGTTCTGTAAGTAATTTTAGGTGAATTCAAGCACCTTGGTCTGTGGATGTCAACGTTGCTGTGGCAGCTGAGGGGCTGGTTCCTGTTCCAGGCACATCAGTAATGCCAGCTGCACTGCAGGGTTCAGAAATGGTCATTTTGAGAATCCCCCATTACAAGCAATTCAATCCTAGAGGTTTTAGTCACAGATCATTTCAAATCATCAATAGTGAATTCCAAAACATGCACTGCTAAAGGAATCCAAATATTGTGCCAACCCCTGCTCTCCTTTCCAGGACAGAGGGGCAGCACATCCTGGGCTGCAGCAGCAGCAGCGTGGGCAGCAGGGCCAGGAGGGGATTGTCCCCTCTGCTCTGCTCTGCTCAGACCCCCCCTGGAGAGCTGGGTCCAGCTCTGGTGCCCTCAGCACAGGAGGGACATGGAGCTGTTGGAGAGGGGCCAGAGGAGGCCACAGAGACAATCCAAGGGCTGGAGCAGCTCTGGAGCCAGGCTGGGGGAGTTGGGGTGTTCAGCCTGGAGAAGAGAAGGCTCCAGGGAGACCTTAGAGCAGCTTCCAGTGCCTGAAGGGGCTCCAGGAAAGCTGGGGAGGGGCTTTTCACCAGAGAAGGCAGTGACAGAACAAGGGGGAATGGTTTTAAACTGAAAGATGGGATATTTTTTGGGTTAGATATCAGGAAGAAATTCTTCACCACGAGGGCAGGAAGGCACTGGCCCAGGTTGCCCAGGGAAGCTGTGGCTGCCCCATCCCTGGGGGTGTTCAAGGTCAGGCTGGATGGGGCTTGTGCAGCCTGGGCTGGTGGGAGGTGTCCCTGCTCATAGCAAGGAGGTTGGAACCTCGTGATCTTTCAGGTCCCTTCCAACCTTCCCCATTCTCTGAGTCTGTGCCAGTCTGGCTGGGTGCAGGCTGGGGCAGTGCAGGTACAGGGGGGGCTGCTCTCACTTCTCACCTGCTCCCCAGTCCAGTGATGTTACCTTCCTCTCCCAGTGCATGGATCTCTGCTCCCATTCTTCTGCCATAAGGTGTCCCAAGGCTTCCCTCAGCAGAGCCAGTGTTTGCATCCACACAGAGCTCTCTCCTGTGCATCTCCATGTGTGTGCAGCTCTGCCCCACCTGCCCTGCCCTTTGAGCAAGCTGAAAATTGTAGGTTGCCTTGTGTGAGCATCATATTGCCTAGTAATTAATTGTTTTCCAAGCAAACCAGGCCTTTTACTTTTTTCTTTCTTCTTTTGTTGTTTTTTTTTGTAATAGCACCAATAATGATAGAACACAGATAGAAAACAATTTATGAGGCAGTTGGAAATCCCAATGATATGGTAATCTAGCATGAAATTATACACTGAATAAAAGGGAATGGCTGTTGAAGGCAGCAGCAGCATTTTTAGACTTGTTTGCATTTTGGGTTATAGTAGGAAATGATAGCAGCTTAATTGCACTTAAACCAGTGTAAGTGAAGAATCAGTGATGCTTTGAGCAGTGCTATTTAGTAAACAAGCCACTTCTGTTAGCACTACTAATTCTTTCCTCTTATAATTAGAGGGGAAAAAAAATGCCTTATATTCATCACTGAATGCATCTCAAACGGCCCCTTGGTGATTTGTGATAATATCTGCAGGCTTTTCTTTCAGGATTGTGTAATAGTTTGTTTTAAACTGAGGAGGGCATCTCTAGGGAGAAGCTGTGGGGAGAATCTTCATCACACAACCAAGGAGCTTGTGTGAGCCTCAGGCAGGGCTGAGGTGACACTGTGACACAGCACAGGTGGAACGTGTTTTGGGTCATAAAACCCCTTTGTTGGCAGTGTTGGCATCTCCCAGCAGTTGAATTGAAACAGTAGATGATAATTTTTTTGTTGGTTTGTTGTGGTATGAATGCACAGCAATGGTGTTAGCAGGGAGCCTGTGGCACAGACCCTGCCTGGGAACTGACTCCTGGTTTGTGTCTCCTGTGGGAGCAGTTTGTGTTCAGGGTCTGTCAGAGCAGAGCTGGAGCTCCCAGGGCTGTGGGAGGGGGGTCTTGAGGAGAGCTCTGCAGTGCTGATGGGTGTCCAGAGGAGGCTACAGAGATGGTCCAAGGGCTGGAGCAGCTCTGATCTGGGGACAGGCTGGGAGAGTTGGGGGGTTCAGCCTGGAGAAGAGAAGGCTCCAGGGAGACCTTAGAGCACCTTCCAGTGCCTGAAGGGGCTCCAGGAAAGCTGGGGAGGGGCTTGGGACAAGGGCAGGGAGGGATGGGATGAGTGGGATGGATTGAAACTGGAAGAGGGGAGATTTAGATCAGACATCAAGACGAGATTCTTCCCTGTGAGGGTGGTGAGAGCCTGGCCCAGGCTGCCCAGGGAAGCTGTGGCTGCCCCATCCCTGGGGGTGTTGAAGGGCAGGTTGGATGGGGCTTGGAGCAGCCTGGGCTGGTGGGAGGTGTCCCACAGGATGCTCAGCTGCACCTCTGCCTGTCCTGTTTTACCTGCATGCACAACTTCAGGTTTTACTTCCCTGGATCTCCTCACTGTCATGTTCTCTCCCTGCTTTTGAACAGACCATGATTTATTTCTTCAACATGAAGTTCTGTTTCCCTTCTGGCTCCCTCATTCCTTAGATATACAGTGTCACGTGGTAGGAACAGGAGGGGGTGGGTGTCCCAAAGAAGAAAAAATATCTTGGAAACAGAAGAGTTTTCATCTGTGTGGTGCCATTGTTCCTGTGACACTTGGCAGGTGTGTTCCCAGTGCTCTGAAGTGCCCACGTGTGCAGGTTGCTGGAGTCTGCGCTTCACCCAAAGTCCCACTGCTTTGAAATAATATTTCCTGGCACACACTTTGTGCTCTTCTGTGTCACTGCTTTGTCACTGGGT